CTCTCTCTCAAAAAAAAAAAAAAAAAAATCAATAAAAAATCTTTAAAAAATTCAATTCAACTCAACATTTATTGAACAGTGATTCAATTCCAGGCATACTTATTATGCCAAACTCAACTAAGTTTAACTAAAACCTAATTTATTGAGCACCTATTGTGTATCAGGTGCTGAGCGTGTAACTATATTTTATCTAAAGCTTGTATCTCATTGAATCTCTTTCTCAATCCTGATATGTGGGTTAATGGCCTTATTTTACACAGGGAAACATTGAGTCTCAGAGCAGGTAAATCACTTGGGAAGAAGCAGATCCGGGACTTAGGCCAGGGTGTGGTGTCTACTATTCCCTTCTAACTCATCTGGAGTCCTTACAGGGTCTGTCTGGTACTCCCGACTGTAGAGTTCATGACAGTTGTTGAAGATGTACTCGTAAGTAGAGTTGAGGCAGGCTTTCACACAATCCTTCACCACCTGGCTAGCTCGAGGCGGGCTCTGGAGTTCTTGCACCTGGAGGGAGGGAGAAGGGCATGGATGGGTAAAGCGAGGACAGGAAGTGCCCAGGAAGTGACTACAAGCGGTTTTGGGTTTAAGGAAACATTGTAGCAGTATGAAAAAAGAGAGTGACTGAGAAAGGGCACTGCTCTCCAGCAGAAATGCTACTTGTTTAGGAGCTAAGAGTCCTAGAGAATCCTTCTTGGAGAGCTAATGGAACTGGGTTCCCTTTCCTACCTTCATCCGAAAAAAGGTGATGCTGGTGAGAAGGTCCACAGTGGATTTGAGGTCCTGGAGTCTCTCCGGGCTGCTGGCTGGGAAGTTATTCTGTTGGAAGGGAGAAGAGAGGTGGGGTTATGGAAGAAGGTTAGGAGAGGATAGGAGACAGTATTTTAGGGGAGATATAAGAGCCCTCAAGTTGCCCTAGCCGGTTTCACTCAGTGGTTAGAACATCCGCTCTTGGACTGAAGAGTCCCGGGTTCGATTCTGACCAAGGGCACGTACCTTGGTTGCAGGCTTGATCCCCGGCTCCGGTTGGGGTGCATGCAGGAGGCAACCAATTGATGCGTCTCTCTCATATTGATGTTTCTCTCTCTCTCTCCCTTCCACTCTCTCTGAAAAGCAATGAAAAAAATATTCTCTGCTGAGGATTAAAAAAAAAAAAAGCCCAGCCAGCATGGCTCAGTGGTTGAACAATGGCCTATGATCCAGGAGGTTACAGTTCGAGTTTCCCAGTCAGGGCACATGCTCCAGTTGTGGGCTAGATCCCCAGTAGGGGTCATGCAGGAGGCAGTTGATCAATGACTCTCATCATTGATGTTTCTTTCTCTCTCTCCCCCTCTCCCTTCCTCTCTCTGAAATCAATAGACATATTAAAAAAAAAAAAAAAAAAAAGAGCCTCCAAGTTTCAGGAGGTGGGTTGGGGGTCAGCAAGAATACCTTGAAGCAACTGGGAGGTCTTTTTGGATACACCAAGTAAGTCGGGAAGCTGCTGCTCATGTACGTGTATCCTTGTTAGAGGAACACACTCTACATGTTGAGGTAGGTCCTCCCATGTGCAGGTCTGCTAGAAGCTGTCCCCTTTGGGTACACACACGTATGGGGGTAAGCAAGTCATCATGCATGCACTTCTCACCCGATACATGGAGAGGTCAATCCGTAGGGAATTATGCAGTTGGTCCAGGAGCTTCACGAAGCGCTCTTTCTGGGGAAGCAGAAGAGGAAGATGATGGAAGCAGGGACTTTGGCATCAACTATATAGCAGCGAAGGGTGGCTGCCATACTGGCTGAGGGCTAGTTACTATACAGTAAGGGCATCCTGTCCACCATTGAACTGAACCCTCAGAACATCCATTTTCATTCTACAGAAGGGTAAACTGAGGCTCAGAGAGATGTGACTGGTGCAATGTCACACAGCAAATCAAGTCCAAGTTGGAAATCTGGGAGCTGCATAGGGTTTCACCAGCACAGGTTTGGGTTCGCCTTCATCCCCCAGTGCCTGGGACTGACCCCGAAGTTGGAGGCTGCGAAGCGGTCGGAGGCAGACACGTTGGTGGAGGCGGTGGTATGCGCATAATAGGCATTGATGTTGGCAAGCAGGGTGCTCATGACAGCAGGCACCCCAGGACACATGTACTTGGAGGAGAGGCAGGCAAAGTGGCTGGTGGAAGGGAATGGGAAGCACTGGGCCTGGTATCCAGCCAGGCAGGCTGTGCCCCCTCCCCCAGAATGCCTCCAAGACAGCATCGTGAGTGATTCCTCCCAACCCCCCAACCATTCCCTTTCCCTCTGCCTGATTTTGTTCTTTGAATTTCCCTCTGTCTCCTCTCTGAGTTGCCCATGTCTGCCCCTAACTCCAGCTCTCATCCCTGTCACTGTGGCCCCCAGCACTGGCACGGTCTTAATCTCCAGGGGAATTATATAATGCCTACCATACCACTTCCTCTCTGACTCCTTTTTCTGTGAACCCCTTCCATCCCAGATCTACCAGTATCCACTTGGTGACCCCCTTCCCTAGTTTCTTGCACCTCACCCTGATGTCCACCCCAGCCTACAGCCTCACGTCATGGCTTGGTAGATGGACTCGACGCCGTAGCGCATGGCAAATTCATCCACAATCTCCTGGGCTGTCTCATCATAGTAAACCTTCCAGGCATCGTCACCCTTGGCATCTGGGATCTTCACAACCCCATTGTTCTGCACATCAGTCACAAAGTGGAACAGGTTCTGCCAAAACAAGGGAGAAGCAGTCAGAGAGTGCAAGGGGGCACAAGGGGTCAGGTGTAGGGCATCTTACATTATCTGTCCACTTGTTTATTCATTAATTCACTTATAGACTCTTTCACCCATCCAGCTACCCAAAATTTCACTTATCTCTCATCCATTCTTCTAACAGTTCATCCATCCATCCATCCATCCATCCATCCATCCATCCATCCCTCCATCCACCTATATATCCACCCACCCATCTGTCTACCTGTCCATCTATCCACTCACCCACCCACCTATCCACTTAATTATCCCAAAATTCACCACCCATCCACTAATTCACCCTTTTAAAAATTCAACCACACACCCACCTATCCCATACTTTTATCCACAACATAATCAGTCCATCCAAAAATTCATCCTTCTACCCAGTCAACCATCAATCCATCCATCCATCATCCATCGGTTGATGCATCTATTCCCCCATCCACCTCTCTAACTATTCCAATATTCAACCATTACACCTCTATACTTTCAATAGTTAAATGATACATCCATCCACCCACCCATCTATTTGTCCACCCACTCATCCTTCCTTCCATTCATTTACCCATCTATCTGTTCACCTACTCCCCTCTCAAACTATCTCCAAGTTCTATTCTTCCTTCTAGTAATTCAACCACATATCCATCTATTCTATCTACAACTTACAACTTAATCTGTCCCTTCAATAATTCATCCATCTACCCATTCAACCATGTATCCTCCAACAATTTATACATCCACCCACTTGTCCATTCATCCATCCATCATCTGTTTGTCCATCCATCTATCCAACTACCCCAAATTCACCCATCCATTCATCTGTACTTCCAATAGTTCAACCACTCATCCATCCGCTCATCCCTCCATCGTCCATCTATTCTTTCATCCACTCATCACTCATTCATCTATTTAATCATTTATTCATGCAACAAATGTGTTCTCTCCGGGAGCCCCCAGGCAGTTAGTTAGAAGAGATAGACTGAGACACAAACAGCCCAACCTTGAGTGTTCAAGGATGGGACAGAAGGAGGACCTGGAGCTGGGTAGTGAGAGTCTGCGTGGAGGTCAGAAAAGGCTTCCTAGAGAAGGGAACCCTGAAGCTGGGCCTTGATGGATGGGGAGGAATTTTCCAGGCTGAGAGAATGGCATGAGGGACAGCTTCAGAGGCCCAGGGGAGTGTGGATGGTGTGGCTAAAAAGAGGAAGGAAGAGCTGGGGCAGGCAGAAATGGTGAGTGGAGGTAATGTGGAAGATCATGGTGAGCTTTGAAGGCAGGGTGGAGCAGCGGGCCTCACCTCATGCAGACAGGTGTACTGGACATGGTAGGGGGCCACCTTCTCTTCCCCTTTAATCTCCACACTGATATGTAGTCGGATGGCACCCGAGACAGCAGATTTGTCAGTCCGCTTGTCTGCAGGGCAGAAAGAGATGGCAGTGTCAGAACTTCCCAATCAAGCCCTTGGCTATTTGAATGTATGCATAACTGTTGCCCTCTCAGGCTCCCTGAAATTAAGGCCTGGGTGTTTTTCCTCAGATTGACTCCCTAGACTTGTGTCTCTCCCATTAGACTAGAATTCCTTAGGCCCTGTCTCTCCCTTCAAATTAGGATCCCAGACATTGCTTCCTCACTCAGATTAAATTCCTGGGTATCCATCTCCCTTTTTAAACTAGGAGTCCTAAGCACTGCTTCTGTCCCAGATTGAGCTCCCAGGCCCTGCCTCCCCAATCAGATCAAGCTCCATAGAGTCTACTCACCTTGTTACAAAGGGTTCTTGGGTCTGTGCCTCTCTCCTCAGATTAGGATCCCAAAGTCTTGCTTCCTGCCTCCCCCATCCAAATGGGATATCTAGATTTCTTCCAACCAACTAAGTTCCTAGACTGCTCAACCCTTTCAGACTGGGTTCTTCCTACATCTTCAGACTGAGCTCACAGACTCTGCATCCCCCATCAGATTGGGCTCACAGATTCTACTCAGCTTCTTAGACAGGGTGCTTGGGTCTGTAGCTCACTTCTCAGATTAGGATGCCCAGACTATACCTCCTCTCTTAGATTGGATTCTTCAAGTTCAATCTTCCTTCCAAGGTTGGATTCTTGGGTCTGTGCCTCTCTCCTCAGACTAGGATCCCCAGGTCTTATTTCCTGTGTCCACCATGAGACTGGAATACAGAGATTCTGTCTCTCCCTCACCCTCTCAAACCAAACTAAAAATTTCCTAGGTCCTGTTCATCCTCTCAGCTGGGGTGCTTCCTGCCGCCATCAGACTGGGATCACAGACTTTGCCTCCTTCACCAGATTGGGGCCCACAGATCCTGCCACCTCCATCAGATTGGGCTCCTGGACTGACTCCCTCCTGACACTGTGTCTCTCCCCTCCAATTGGGTTCCCCAGTTTGGCTGGCTCCTGGGGCCCCCTCCCTGCCCCCTGCAGGCCCCCCCTTGCTCACCCAGGTTGTACCACACGTCCATCTCGCCACTGAGCGTCCGCACCTCGATGATTGTCTGCCCCAGGAAGTCATCGGACTCCCTCTTGAACCGTTGTTTCACGCGGGATTTGATATCGTCATCTTCGTCCCAGACTCGCACCTTGATTCGATCTGAGGAGTTGTGACATTCACTGCAGGGGGAGGGGGGAGCAAGGGTCAGGCAGCTGGCTTGGGCTAGTGTTGGAGGCCCCTCTGGCTGCCCCAGGAGGGAGCTCTGCATGGGATACGGGGGCCCAGCCAGGCACTTACAAATGAAAGTTCTCTTCCCACACAGGGTTCAGGTTCCCATAGATGGTCTTCGTCCGTTTCTTGGTCTTCCCGACCTGGACAGTGACGTAGGGGTCACTGGATCCCGTCTTGTCCTTTGCCTGCAAGCCCTGGGCACAGACCACTGGAAGACACATAGGACAGATATAAATGTGGGCTCAAGGAAGGTGGTATGTTGAAAACAGTCACTGCCAAGGACTCCAGGGTGCTTGCTGGGGATGCCTGTGATGTGACCTGGCCACCGGAGCCTGAGGACATGCTGATCTTGCTAGAGAATTAACACCCAGGGAACTCTCAGTCAATGAAGGGTAGGAAGGTGCCCCAGGGTCACAATATTCTCAGGTGTGTTCTCTACACTGTGCCCCTGAAGTTCCCCAGTGGGACTGAACCTCCATTGATTTACAAAACCACCTGCTCATTGGTGCCCACCTGCAGGGCACCTTCCCTCCCTGCTCCCAGCAGGGCTTCCTGGGACTACCTCCTGGACACCCATGTGCCCTGAAATTATCTTGGGGTCTATCTCCTGGGAAATCCAAACGAGATTTGGCCATGCCCCTAGGGTAGGACCAAACTGCAGTGGGGGCTCAATACTCTCCCCCAGTGGTCCCGGGTGTCAGAGCATTGCCTGCTGCTAGCACCTCCTGCAGAGCTCCTTCTCTTCCAGTTTCGCTTCCAAACTCCCACAGGGCTTCCTGGGATCATCTCCCAGATAAATAATGTGCCCTCAACTCCTCTTGCTGGGATCTGATTCTGGGGGCACTTATCAAGATGCACCCAGATAGAGTGTCATGCACATACGCTGGGAGGCATACATGTCCACCTGTGGGCACAAATGCACTTGCCCGTGGACTTGGGAAAGACATGCTCCAGTCGGCGCAGCAAAGGGAAGGGAGGGGCCTGGGAGGGAGCACAGAGGGCTGGGAGGAAGGGACCAGAGGCCACCCGATGGTCTCACCAGTGATGCTGATCTTCGCCGACCACTTGGACGTGCCGTCCAGCACGCTCTGCTTGACCGCCTTCATCTGCTGCGTGTGCGCGGTCTTGGTCACCGCGAAGATCTCCTGGATGAGCTCGAAGATCTCGGGTTTGTTGCGCTCCCGGATCTTCATGCGATCCTTGAGCACCATGATGATGTTCTGCGTGCGGTCCTCAGCCCCGTGCTTGGAGCTCTTCTCCGCCGCCCCTGCGGAAGCGGGCAGCCGGCACCGTCCCGGGGGCACGCCTCACCCGAGCCGGCACCCCACCTCCAGAGCTCCCTCAGCCCTGCTGCGGGCACTTCAAGCCGTGGGGAGGGGGGGCATGTCCATCACCCCAAAAGCTACACTTCCTACTTGTTCCCTTAATACCCGCTTCCGCCAGGCTTTATACCCTCCAGAACCCACCCCCTCTGAATCCCCGGCCCCCTCCAAGACCCGGCTCCTTCCCTGATACCTCTCCCCCACTCTGAGCACCCTCCCTGCGCTGAGCTAACCCTAACCCGGTTTTCTGCAGGGGAATGGGTGCCTCTCCTTAACCCCGTCCCTGGCAGTTAAGCCGGTCCCTGAGCCCCGCCCTAGCCTTCTTCGACTCTCACACCTTCTTTCCGCTCCTCTCACCCCCAGGCTCCCCCCTAAAG